GGAAGAAACGGATCCTCCACCATCAAGCTCCTTCCCCAAACACCCGCACGGACCCGCACGTGGGAGGCAGCGGGCCAGAGATACTCTGAAGGCTTGGAATGGCTCGAAGATTTGGAGCTCTCAGGTTGGGAAGGGGGCCCCAAAGAGGGGGCCGCCGGGCCGCGGCGCTGTGTCGACTTGGACACGGGGGCGACTTGCGGCGGTTCAGCGGGTAGAAGCTGTGTCGAAGGAATCGGGTTACAACTGTAGTTCACCGCCTATGTTGGGTCTACAGAGTTGATTTGGAAAAAATCGAAGCCATCTGGACCTTCAAGGGGTGTCCTGGGAAAAATCGAAGCCATCTGGACCTGAAAAAGGGATGTCCTGCCTGGAGGTCCTGGATAGTGGGCTGGGGCTTCCAGCCTGGTGACCGGACATGAAGGTGCTGGCATGTAAGCATGATGATCTCAGGGAGTGTCCCACGGAGAAGACCGCCTCAACCACCAGCGGCTAGTCCTGAGGGTGGAAAAACCAGCGACGTCCGCACCATCAGATGGTGGGAGGTCCCCCGAGTCTACTCGTGCTTGGGCTCGAGAGCCCAGGAGCATCCGGAAGGCTCCACTTTTCACAGTTCCACTCCGAAGAGTCGGGGTACTGATGGGTACAATCTCCCAGAGCATCCAGACTGGAAGAGCCGATGAATCTAGCGCAGACACTCCATGTCTGTCATATATGCCGATCAGTTTTCGGGTGGTTTGAGGTGGTTGACTGGGGGTCAATTGATCGGCATCTATGGCAGTCCCATGGAGTGTTTGGGTAGGTTATCTGAAGATGGGGTGTTCATGTGACTCTTCCAGTCCCATGGGTCTGAGAATGGAGAGATTTCGAGTGTTGGTCCCCCAAGGTGGCGAAGACGATGGCCCTGGTGGTCAAAGGGAAAGAAGGGGGGCGCCATGCGCCAGCTTCCCAAGAAGTCACCTGTTGGTGTATGGTTTGCTTCCAAAGAAGTACACGGTTCATGATAATTCATGATTCATCATAGATTCACGGTCTGGGAAAGGTTTGTCTATCTGGAGGGTTCACTGGACATCACTGGACCAGGTTCTTCACCTTCTGGAGTGTCTTTCAGACCAGGGCACGGCTCGACCCAAAGCCTATTTCAAGCACCTGGACGTTTTTTTGGGGGGTGAAGAGCATTTTGAAGATGTCCGTTCCGGGTATATAAGGAAAACCAGACAGCAGGCAGAACATGTGCATGGTTTGCATCGTTGGAAGATCCAGGTATGATCTCTTGGTGCGGTGTTTGGTGACCAGACTGCCCCCTCCGCTCTTGAGATCTCTCAGAAATCGCCCTGTGGGCTCGGATCTTCTGCCAGGCCCGGCATTGGAGGTGCATTTGGCTTTGTTGGCCAACCGTTGCCAAGCTTCTTTGAAGCGTAGCCGCTGGCGCCCTGGACCCAAGTGGTGAGTCTGATGGGGTGGGGCGATGGTTCAGCATCCAGTTGGAGGAGGAAACGGCTTGGGTTCACCCAATCTTCACCCAATCAAGTTAGGGTAAACGGGTTTAGGAACCCAACGTCACGTTCCTGGTAAACAGAAACACGTTCCTGGCCTTTTGGCGGAACATCCAATACGTCCTGCCGGGCAAGCCGAGCAAGTCATTGAAAAGGACTGTAGTCAGTTGTAAGCATCGGATGTTGACTCGGAGGAAGTCTTGAAACTTCTTGAAACCCGAAAACTGGCTTGCAAGGGTACGTAACACGGTGACACCGGGTTCCATGATTTGTGGGGATATGGATAGTTATGGCACTTTGGGTGTGAACTGACCAGTGCACTAGCAACACCTAGGAAACGGAGTTTGTAAGAGTTTGTAGGTGGCCGTTTTTGGTGCTATTATTGCGTGGGCATGCTTCTAGTGGAACAGGGAGAACGTCGCAAGAAACGGATTTGCACGACTGGGGAATCATCTCGGTCGGTCCAGTTACACCCTCGCAGCCTGACAGCAAACCTGAATTCCTCTACCAGACCAGTGTTGTCAGCTCCTATGTGAGTCTACAACCAGGGTGTACTTCCAAGATCTTCTAAGGTTCCAAGCATAATGTTCAATGTGATTCCAGGACCGATCGAAAGTCCTCTTGGCGCTTGCGCCTGGCAGCCAATCTCTACAAGACCCATCCCATTTGGTCCCAATATCTCCAATAGCTCCGTTTTGAGGGGTCTTTGAGGCGAGCTTGGAGTGTGGTCCCGCCCGTTTGGGTTTCCTCCGTTCGATCTCCATCAACTCACAATAACTCATGGTTTCGTCAACGAAGTTGCCAAGTTGGGATTGAGTTTGGACTGGATTCTTGAATTGGTTTATAGAACGGAAAATCTGCAGGAAACCCGTGTTTTCACCACCAAAACTGTGGCTTTCTGTAGATGTTCCATTAAAACAGTTCTAAGACTGGATTGTTGCCAAAAAGTTGCCAAATGACACAAGTCTCACTCCCTTTCTACACTCCGTTCCGTGTTCGTGATCGATGAGTTGACGACCTGGTGACCTGGTGTATCATGCTCATCACATATCACTCGCTCATCAGAGGTTTTTCAAGGGGGTCTCAAGGCAGAAATCGTGGGAACTCCGTGTTCTTTTGGCTTCGGCGTGTGTCTCTTCCACCCCTAGGGTTCCTGGCCCATCTATCCTCAGGTTCGGTGGGCACCAAGCCTCCCCAAAACCACCCACCCACCCACCCACCCCAGTCCCACCCACCTTCACCAACAACGGAGGGGGGGGGGACTGGAGGGACGGCTCATCCGCCCAGTAGAACACGTTCTTCAGAGTCTGAGCCCCTCTCCAGGTCCGAGGCGCTCCAGGATGCCGAGGCCGTCCTGTCCCGGGAGCCTTCGCACGCCAAGGCGCGCTACAGGCGCGGCGGCTCCGGGCGCTTGGAAAGCCGCCCGAAGACGGGCGGGAGGTCCCGGCGGCGGTGGGGTCCAAACACTGAGGGGACTGAGGTGGACCGGCGAAAATGAACGGAATAGAGTACCAGACATGGTCAACAACCTACCAGGGTGAAAGGAGCTGCAGATTTTTGACCCACTGAGTTGTGACGCCCCTGTCCGGGGCGAGCGCAGAGCGGTGGGAGAGGGGGTGACCGGAGCAGAGCCTGGGCCCCTCCAAAGAAGTGGCCGAAAGAGAAGGACTCTTTGCAAGGTGGATCCAGCACCAACCTGACCATCCTGATCCCATCTCACTGAGTTGGATGCCACGGCGTTGGGGTATCCTATAAGACGAGCACCAACGTTGGAGCCATCGGCCAAATTGGCAGCCTCCAAGAAGTGTCGAGGTTAAAACATATGTGTACTTTCATCAACGTAAGGGCTCCAAGATTGGAGGTGCATGTTCAACATGAGGTGCTGCAGGACCATTCAGGACAATCAGCTGCATCTTCCCTTTGCTGTTCTATACTCTAATTTAATACATTCTAGATCAATGATGGACCAGGAAAGGACCGGCTGGCTCCATGGATCCTGATCCACCGACGCGTATTTTTCCTCTTTGACGCATTAGTTGCAGGCGTGCCAAAGCCTTGCTGGAGCTGGGCCAATGTGAGGAGGCGACCTTGGCGGTGGAAGAGTTGGATGCCAGCAACGAGGAGGGGCCGAGAGAGGTTCCTTCCGAAGGGTGGTGAGGTGACCAACAGAGGTTATAGGTGACCTGATGTTTTTAGACCTACCATTACTTACTGGGGTACCCAACTGGGATAGTCTGATACCTGGGTTTTCTGGAAGAGCTGCTGAACTGTGTGCAGACTTACACCTGCCAGAAGATGCATGAAGGGGTCTACATGGTCTAAATATGTCTAAATCATAAACAAGCTCGATGTTTCATTGGGTCAAGAGCTGCCTTTGGGAGTGAGGAGAAGATCCACTGCAAAATACTATTTTTTGGGGGGGAAGAGGGGGTCCCCCATAGATCAAAAAAGGATGGTTTCATGTGCTTACTCTGTCATGCTGGGAGACCTTCTCCCGTCTCGGGAGAGCGGATGCGAACCGCGAACGCCAACGGCTCCCTCAACGGCTCAGCATGATGACGTGGAATGTGCATTGATATCTGGAGGAACTGATCCCCCAAAGGTCATGGTTTCAGATACTCTCCCTGAAGCTATTCGTAACAATGTGGAAAGCCCCCTGTTTGTAGAGGAAAATGGTCTCCGAGGACCGGCTGCCGCTTCCTTTGTTCCAGAGGGAGTGGTCAATGCCTATTGACAGAGGGATTCTCACCGGAGGTTGCCAACATCCCATCTTCGGGTCGGGAACCAGGTGTTGTTGAGACTCCTCCTAGTAAACAGACATCAATAGAGCTAATTGAGAACTTGGGTCAAGGACTTAAGGACGCTTTTTTGTTTGGATGCGCCCCAAGAGAACCTTCAACAATTGCTCTCCCCAGACCATCCATGCGACTGCCATATTGACCGATCAGTTGGGGTAAAATTTGGGGGGTCAATTCTCAATGTAGGTATGAATGTCCTTGACTGGGATAAACCTTCATGGATGACAGCACGCTGCCCGAAACATTTAATCCTCAAGTTCCTTGTTTTTGCTGGGGCCAGTCCCCACATGGAACCAAGACTCGCCTTTTTGATCGGAGTGGTGGTGACACAAGTGTTCAATCAGCGTCCAGTCCAGCTAGATCAGGCCGAACTCATCCTGCTCAAAAACGAGATAGCTCACACCCGCGCTTCGTTGGACGAGTATCATACCATCCAGGCGGAGTGCAAGTGGAACGAGAGGGTTCAGGGTCTCGTCATTCGGGCAAACCTGATTTTTGACGTGTTGATCTTGATCTATTTTCTGGGACGGGTGTGCGGACGAAGGCCAACTACCCCTCCCCTGACACGTCCGAACACCGGAGGTTCTTCGGACAGCGAGGGGCCAGACACGGTTCCTGGGTGTGAGAAGACCATTTCTCGGACTGGTGTGAGAGATCGTCAGTTGGCTTTGGTGAAGTCTAGGCCAACTAGACCCTCAGATCTTAAGTGATGGACGACTACACTCTGAACATCCCGGAGGTGCAGATAGTGGTGAACTACCCCCATGATGGTGGGGGATATTTTTGGCATCATCGCATACTCCTTCATCGCATTGAAGGAGGAACGTGGCTCACGCTCACTCCCGATCACGACATCCAGAGACACGATCTCACCACCACTCGTCACAGGATCCTTGATCGAGCTGCTCCTTTTCCAGAAGACATTGCTGGGGAAATTTACGCCCACGATGTGATCGGCAAGGCTACATTGGATGGCTACAAGCGTCAAGCAGTCGTCCAAGCGGCTATCCTCGGAGAGGGCAGCGTTGGAGAGAGTGAAGCCTTTGTGTGGTTGGTGACAGAACATGGCCATGAACTTTTTGGCAAGGAGGTTGACCAGGCTTTGCTCCGGAATGGAGCAACAGGTGTGGCCTTTTCGTCAAAGGGTGTCATCATTCTGGACGGAGAGGAGGTCTTTGTCGAGAAGGTCGGTCGCAATGGGATCAATGACTGGCGAAAGCGGAGGGGCCTTGACATGTCCGATGAAAGGCTGCTCGGTGATTTCAAGGACGAGATCGGCAAACGGAACTTGGAGTTGGTGAAGGCGGTTCCGTTGATGAAGGAGCCGACGATTGCTGATTTCTCCATCAGTGGGACACGTGCTGCCAGGGAATTCCTTGAATCCATTGCAGGGGGAGCTCATACGTTGCTGACTTACCACAGCGAATGGCTTCGCAGCTCTGGAGTGGGACGGAAGTCGAGTGCGGCACATGTTCACAGAGGACTGATGGAGTCCTTGCGCCTCATGATCAGCTTTGACCAGCTGGACCCTTCGGCGCTGGCAGTGGGAGAGCACCTTTGCAGATGGGCCATTCAGACAGAACTGGCGGTTGAGCGATGTCCTTCAGCACCGGACTACACCGGACTGGATATCGTATCCGGATCCTCTCTGCTACCCGATGGCAGGGCCAACACCACAAAGTTCACCGAGTTCTTGGCACAGCGGCTCAAAGACCGCGCCTCTGTGTGGAAGCAGGAGCGCCTCTATGCTCAGGAACGTCGATTGCAAAGAGGCAAAGGCGGAGGCACAAATGATGATGACGAAGGAGACGGAGCCAAAGGACCTGGCAAGAGCAAGAAGAAGAAGAAGAAGAAGAGTGGCGGTGGCGCTCCAGCAGAAGGCGCCGCCGCTGCATCCAAGTGAGGGCGACATGGAGTTAGATGCCACGGGGGCGATTGGCCCTCCTGACTCTGAGGACGTGGCGGATGCATGGTTTGAATTCAGTGTGCGGCGGCCATCACCCCATCGACGGCACGGAGATCCTTTTCCTTTGCCGAGGTTGGGGAAGCAATCGGCCGGCAGCCAGCACCATTTATCGCCCACACGGATGATTGACCGGGCTGTGAAGTCGTTGAATCAGCTCGTTTAATCTGGGGCTGTTTTTACAGAGACACCCTCGAGTTCCTTGCCTCTGACAGATGTACAGCGTTGGGTGATGGAGGACATCTCTCGACGAGTCGAAGCGATGGGGCCATGTCCGGATGACTTGACAGAGGATCTGGCCGTGAAGGAGCTTGGGAAGGGAGCAAACCTGTATGAGCAGGCGGCCGACAACTATAACCTTGCCGAATTCGACATTGACAAGATCAAGATCCTGAAGCGGAAGCTAGACCCGGCACTGGCCAGGGAACTTGCTCCTCCCGAAGTCCAGGGGTTTTTGGACAACTTTGACACGCTGATCCAGCGACCGGTGGGTGAACTCGACGCCTTAGCGTCCTCTGGAACTTTAGTCGAACCCTATTGGGACCCAAAACTGAAGAGAAGTCTGGGTAAGAGGAAACAACTTTACAAAGCGCTGTATGATTCAAACCTTTTGACTTTTGTCCGCAGGAGGAAAGCTCGTGTCGGTTTTTTCACTGTCAAAAAGAAGGACTCCTGGATTAGACTGATACTTGACGCAAGGCAGAGCAATGCGTGTCACAGATGCCCACCTCAGGCAAAGCTTGGGACCCCAGCTGGCTTAGCATCCATCGATCTTTCTCACAGAACACTGGAGAGCAGAGGTTTTTCTTTTGTGGACAGCGAAGATGGTTTGCCTACTGCCATAACAGGTGATGTAGGAGACTGTTTTTACAACTTTGTCATACCGGCTGCTTCAGAGTGGTTTTGCACAGATGATGTTTTTTCAATCGATGACATACATGCCATGGGGATTCAGATCGAGCAAGTGTTCGACAGCAGAGCTGGGGGATGGACAACAGTGGATACGGGAGAGAAACTCTACCCCGCTTTCTATGGTATGCCTATGGGCTGGTCATGGTCTCTATGGATAGCCAATGAAATCATCATTTGTCCTGGTCGCAAGAATGTTTGGTTCGTGACAAACATCCTCCACCTATTCTTCAACCTGGTAAACCGGCTATTGGAGTCTATGTGGACAACGTTGTGGTGATGGGGGGCTCGGAGCAAGATGCACAAACCACTATGGCCAAGATTGCTGATAGGTTCCGTACTCTCAACATACCTTTTGAAGTGGATCAACAACATCGGGAACAACTGGTGGAAGTACTGGGGTTGGAATTTTTCATGGGGACTGATGTACTGGTTACAAACAAGCGGCGGAGAGTGTGGCGAGTTTGGATGGCAATCGGTGCTGTGTTACATAGGAAGCGAGTTCATGGTAAGTTCATCCAGATTCTCCTAGGCCACATCAACCATCTTTTCCAACTCTGTCGACCTGCGCTGTCCTCCCTTTCGGCATGTTATCGTTTTGTTGCAGACCACTCGCACCACAGATATCCTCTCTGGCCTGGTGTGAGACGAGAGTTCGACACAGTCAGAGGTTTGATATTCTTGGTAGAGTTCAACATGAGCTCCCCTCTGCTCCGTGAGGTTTACGTGGGTGATTCATCTGATAAAGGTTACGCACTCATGGTTACAGATGCAGCAGAAGCAGAGGTGAGACCAATGTTAGCTTTCCGGGAACGGTGGCGTTTTATTAGCAGTTGGGATGCTGGTTCAACCGCGACGGAAACCTTTTTTGATGCAGAAGACCCAGCAGATGACAGTTTTGAGCCTATTTTTTACGGTAGCAAGCCAGAAGCAGGTGTTGGTTGTCGAACTCAGTTTGGCGTTGAACTCAAAGCCAAATATGAACAGCAATCCAACAGCGGCCAGCTAGAGGCCAAACGGCGAAGGCTTTTTGGAAAGCGAGCTCCTGACAAAGAGACGTGGATCCAAGGTCCCCGCCTCGTTCCTGTGCCTGAGACTTTCATGGCACCGCAGCGGTGGAGCCTCCTTGTGTCGGCTGCTTGGAAGCGACCCGAGGAACATATCAACATCAAAGAAGCCAGGGTTTGCCTGATGAGTTTAAGACGCATTTGTAGGACAACTGCCAATCTAGGATCTACTGCTCTTACACTGACTGATAATTTGGTTAGCGCTTTGGTTTTCGAACGGGGCCGCAGCAGTTCACATGGATTGAATGGGCTTTGCAAAAGAGCAGCAGCATACCAGATCGCCTGCAGAATCCAATGGCGGCTTCGCCACATCCCATCCGAGATGAATGTCTCAGACGGACCGTCCCGTCGCTGGGGACCAGATGAGCCTGTGAGGAAGTCAAAACCTTCAGGTGTGCGATTGCCTGAGGAAGGCGACTTGCAGAGAAGAAGAAGAGTAGGTTTGGAAACAATGGCTGGACATTTTCCTGCGCACTCAGAAGAGATTGTGAATGAACCCTCATCGTCTTCAACTGTAAGAGTCAGCTCTACTCAGACAACTTCCCCTCCGAAGTTTTTCTTGAGCTTTTTTCCGGCAGCGCAAGACTGACACGGGCTATGAAGGGTCAAAACTTCAGGGTGCTCCCAGATTTTGAAGTTTCAAAAGGCACAGAGTTTGATCTTTTGGACCCCTTAGTTCAACAAGTCATTGTCAGCTGGATGAAGCAAGGCCGGATTTGGATGATTCACTTAGGAACTCCGTGCACAGTGTGGAGTCGTGCCCGTCACAATGTGAAGAACTGGAGGAGAGCAAGGGACAAAGAAGCTAAGGGAGTGGCTTGCGCTATTTTTACAGCGGTGGTGGTTCGGTTGGCTCTTTCCTTGGGAATCAAGTTCACACTGGAAAACCCCCAATCAAGTAGACTCTGGAACTTCGAACCCATTGCCCAGATCTTCACGGACAAACGAGTGCACTTCTTTACATTTCACATGTGTGCGTATGGGACCCCGCACAAAAAAGGCACATCAATCCTGACCAACGTTGCTGAGCTCACAACTTTGGTGAAAAGCAGTGCGCAGGTGACCACAAGCATGAACAACCTAGAGGAACAGAGAGAGTTTGCGTTGATGGAACCTTGGTGACCCGCAACAAGACCGTTGGTGCGGGAGCATACCCTTTATGCCTGTGCAATGATTGGGCCCAGGCATGTAGGCAGGTGGCTCCCCCCGGTGCTTTTGGCAAATCGAACTGGCACGCGTGCAACCAGTTCCTCCTTGACCTATGGGATGCCGTCGACCAGAATGGAAGGAAGAGTGCAAAACTTTTCTCTAGAGATGATCAACAGCCTGGCGAAAAGGAGAACCCCAATGTCATCTTTGCCAAGCGGTACATCCAGACGCACCCCGTCATCTTCGGCCAGCATTCCAACGCCGAAGCAGATAGGATCAGACGGAAGCACCGGCAGAAAAGTCAGAAGGGCCATCGTGAAGAGGAAAGACCTGGCTGGCAAGGATTTGCCAGCACACATGCGGTTGAGAGCGCAAAAGGTTTCACAGCAAACTCTCAACCGCTACCTTACAAGCATACATGAGTTCGAAAGGTGGGTGGCAGGCAAGAAAGTCAAGCTGACAACTTCAAATTTGGACCGACAGGTGACCTTGTTTTTGACACACCTCCAAGAGGATCTGGATAGTGAAGTTTCGGCGGGCACCTACCTGGTCTATGGGTTGCAACTTTTGCGATGCACAGGTAACAAGTCTGACTTCTTGACCGAGAGTAAGGAGGCTTTGAAAGGGTGGCGCAAGAGGCGGCCTGGCAACATGCGGTTGCCAGTTCCTGAGGAGTTTGTGTATGACCTAGCGACTTTGGCTCTGGACCAGAACCGAGTCGACCTTGCCATGCTGCTGACTGTTCAGATGGACGCCTATCTTAGACCTTCTGAAGCTCTGGACTTGACTAAGGCTCACTTGGCTCGACCCAATGGTAGACGATACCCTCTTTGGGGATTGGTTGTAGCCCCAGCTGACTTGGGAGATCAAACAAAAACGGGGACCTCAGATGATTCAGTTCTCTTAGGCGACACGACGCACAACAAATGGTTAGGACCTGCTTTCACCACCTTTGTGAACTCGGTGCCAGATTCACTTTTTGGTTCCATCAACCTTGCCTCGTACGAAAAATGGCTACAGTCTGCCTGCCAGCAATTACAGTACAAAACCACTTGTGTCATGCCACACGTCCTGCGGCATACGGGAGCCTCCAACGATGTTTACCACAAACGTCGAAGTCTGCTCGATGTGCAACGGCGAGGACGATGGAAGGCCAAGTCCTCTGTTTCCAGGTACGAAAAACACGCCCTGCTTGTTCAAAGGTGGGGACAGGCATCTGTTGGACGTCATGCTGACAGCCACCAGAGATCTCAGGACTTCCCAGCAAAGTTGCTTCGCGCCCTGCGATTCAACGGAGGACCCAGACCATGAAGTGGAAACGGAAGTGCAGTTTGACAAACCTTTTTTAGCAAATGGCAAGTTAATGAAACCAAAAATGGACCAGCACAGCTGTCGCAGAACGCGACTTCAGGGTCCGTGGATTTCAGGCATTTACATTTAACAAAGCTGAGTCTCAAAAAAGATGAGGCAAGCTGGGCAGCTCCTTGCGGTGAAGACAGTTGAGGTTTGTGAATGTCCTTGACTGGGATAAACCTTCATGGATGACAGCACGCTGCCCGAAACATTTAATCCTCAAGTTCCTTGTTTTTGCCCCGTGGCCAGCCGCAAGCCTTGGGAAGTGCAGTTTGACAAACCTTTTTTAGCAAATGGCAAGTTAATGAAACCAAAAATGGACCAGTACAGCTGTCGCAGAACGCGACTTCAGGGTCCGTGGATTTCAGGCATTTACATTTAACAAAGCTGAGTCTCAAAAAAGATGAGGCAAGCTGGGCAGCTCCTTGCGGTGAAGACAGTTGAGGTTTGAATATATCCCAGACACTCCATGTATGCCATATATGCCTACATTGGGGTGGTTTTGGGGGTCAATGTAGGCATATATGGCATACATGGAGTGTCTGGGATATGCCAGTCCCGTGGAATGTCTGGGATAAAAAACGGCTGGTTTGTGGAATATCCCTCCGTCACCTTTGCGCATTGAGGTGCGCTCTGCCATTGGTCCACAGATGCGTTTGACATGCCATTGGTCATCGCCAACAAGAGAGATGACCCTCCCTCAATTCCAACATACAAGTGGAACATTAGCATGACCATCACCCTTCGCATTTTTGGTCCAATGTGACCAAACCCCTTGGTTTTGGCGGCTTGTATCGGTGATTCTACCCAAAAAAAGAAACGATCTGGAGTCAATCCCCAAACCTCGAGAAGATGTATACCAGCACCGTCATGTCGGGGTCTCCCATAGACTACCCTACACTACTTAGGGATCTCCATCAAACACCCCTTTGACGGTCCAGGTATGTTTTCCCAGTTCCTGGGAGCCACAAATCCCGGAGTCTTCCACTTCCAGGACGTCGCCGAACTCCTCCGCCGCCTCGCCGCGCCGGCCGAACGCCGCCCCGCGGCCGCGGGACACGCCTCGACGGTGGAGACGGTGGAGGCGGAGACCACAGAGCCTTGGTGGTAGCAGCTGGAAGATGTTTGGAGTTTGGTTGAATCATCCCCACCAGGGAATGTATTGATAGGTGGACCGTTGGCGCCCCCTCAAAACATGTTTCATGTTGAATATATATATATATATATATACTTGTTATATGCTATTTATTGTCCATGATCTATTATCCATGTCCTATATATGTTAATCATACTGTTTATCCATGGTCTGTCATCGGGGTGAATCCCGAAAGGAGTGAATGGGGTTCTTCGCCCGGTTGACCGGCGCAAATCCCAGGAGCTGGTCCGGGGGGCGGCACACCGTCGTGGAGCGGCAGGTGGAAGAGGCGCGGACCGGGCGCGCCCTTCGGTGCCAATGGATCCGGAGATATCATGAGGATATGCGGGCTTTCGAGCTTGGCTTTCAGGAATTCCATGGAATTGCCGACCTATCATTACATTATGTATACATATTAGTTAAAAATTGTATTGGATTTTGTTTTATATCTATTGACCTTTCGTTTTGTACCGTAAATATACATATATCATATGCATATATCCTTGGGCCAAAGACATCATCACGAGCTGGTCGGCCATGCGTTTACGATCAGTCCATCCGGACCCTTCCGTCTCAGTGTGGATCCCGTTCCAGCAGAAGAAAAGTCCAGTATCTACCCGTTAGCTGTCCAAGACCATTAAACACATGGTTGACCTGGTGTTGTAGTGTAAAATCATGAGGGTTAGCAAATGGTCAACGCATTTAAAAACATTAATGGTGGGCCAGGAATCCTAGGGTTCTACAGAGACACGAAGAAGACCATGAAGAAATTGAACACCTTCTCATCCTCTTATTGTCATGTCTCATCTTGGACTGCATAGGGAGGCTCGTCCAGTGCTAACCAACTGAAAATAGTACCTGCCATATAGTAGCTCCACTAAATAGAGGCAAAGAATGCATTGTTGGACCTCTACTGTAGTAGTTTAACACTGATTCAGATAATAGGCAGTTTCATGTCGGAAGGGTTTTCAGTCCACCTCCAGTGAGTGGATGAGACAGGAGCACCGACTACCTCCTTCCTCCGTTGGGGAACCCCACCCAACTCGGAACTGCTGGTGGAGATGGTGCATCCACTGCTGCAGGATGCAGAGGCCAAACGCCTCTGGAAGGAAGCTGAGAAGGCTTGGGCGCGCCAAGACTACAGGTGGGGAGCCACGGGAGCCTGCCGGGGACGTGTTGGAGCAGTTCAGGTGCTACTGAGAGTCACTCTGTCACTCCCTGATTTCAGGAATATGAACCAGTAGATGTTCACACTTTGATTAATATAGACCCACCACAACATCTACAGCTGCTGCTGTTCATGTATCATGTTGCTTTTCTTGGGAGAGTTCGAAAACCCACGCGAGTTCACCCTACCCTTTGCTCGTGGTCCGAATGTCATCACCGAGTTGATCGAGTGTGGATCCACAAGGGCCAAAGCTCATGTTGTGACAACATTCCAGCAGTTCCATCGTCGAAATGATGTTGAGTCCCATCCAGGGGCCGTGGATGTGACGTTCGGGCACTTGCACTCCTTCCTCCGTTCGGAACCGGCGCCCAACTCCGAGCTGCTGATGGTTGTGGATCTTGTGAGAACAAAACCATTTCCCGGACAAGCCCACGCGGCGGCACTGAATCACCCTCCCCCATCATAGACACTGACTCATGTAGCAGATAGGCCATATGTGCAGTTTCATGGATCATGTGGGATCTATGTAAACAGTAGTTTCATAGGACATCTGGCACATGGCACAGGTCGTCGCAGAGCTGTTCTAACTTGATTGTTTAAAACATCGTATTTTTTTCCGTGTTTGCGTGTGCCAACAAACATGTCAACCACTGCCGAACCACACTCCAAGACCCTGATTTGGATCTCTTGCGTCAGTTGGAGGAGACTGAGAAGCCAGGTTTTCTCGTCTTTTTCAGCAGCTGGTATCTTTGTTCTGTTGTGTAAGAGGATGTTGGCTCATCTAGGCTCCAGAACGTCTCGTCCGCCAGGCGTGCGATCAGCTTCGCTGAGGGTGCGCAGTTGGAGCTGGAATGGTTGCGTGCTGAGGCACACCGGCCGTGGTGAGAACAGGCATTGTATGACTTAAGGTATAGGTGTCTTCCTTGGTGTATTTACACTTTACCAAACTGTGTTAACCATGCTGTTGTTCTAGGTTTTACCGAAAAAGTCCTTGGGTTCTATGTGCGTTGGTTGCCTGTCGGCTCATTTGGTTCCTTTCTTCAACTGCTCATGGAAGAAATCTGAAAATCCACCGCCCAATCAGCCCAAAGCGGTCCCTCTACCAGTTGATGCAAGAGTTCTTCCTTCACGAGGAAGTTCTTGCGATCTGTTCAGGAATTCGGCTTTTTGTGGTGTGATGTTGAATCGAAGCTTTTGGTGAGGTATTCGCAACTGCCATGATGCTGTAGATATATATCATCTTCGGGGGACCTAAACCAAAAGGACAGTCATGCGCCCATCCCTAAGGGATTCACAGACCCTCTGAGAAGATGATTGGAGACATGCAGGTTTGGAGGATCCAGTCGTACCTTCTGCCAAGGTGGCAGTGGATCCCTACGGCATGACATCTTCTGCTCCTGCAACCGCAGGAGCAACGGGAGAAAGCCCGCCCACTCGCACAGCAACTGCTAGCAGTGCACGTGATGCAGGCAGAAGTGGGGAATCGCAAGAGGCTTTTAGACTCTTCTGGGTGGAAACCTGTACGAGTTTTGTGCCTTTTGTTGACAGAAGATAAAGCCATTCTTTCTAGATCGTTTCCTCTACGCATTGAAGGGATCTTATTTATGATGCCTCGCCATTGATCAGTCAGCTATTATCAAACGAACATGCACTTTGGAGGGTCACTGTAGTTCAAAAGTGGAAAAACAAAAACTAAACCAACAAAGACACCCACGGCCACCTTGTTCCGGTCTTCCTTCCAAGCCACCCCGACCTGGGTTTTCCTAACAAGATGCCACGTCCCCATCTTCTCCGGGCTCCACCGGGCCCAAAACAAAGCCGCTCTCCGCCCGACCGGCCCGAACCATCCGTCAGGTGCGCTGCCACGTGGCTCTGCGGGACTTCGCCACGGCACGCGGGTGGGCCCTGAGAGCCCTCCAGTTCCACCGCCACGAGGATCTCGTCGGTTCGACCGGTCGCTACGGATCGGCCACGGATCGGAGGATCTGGCCTGCGTGCGAGCACGAAGCTTCGTGCTGTGTGGTGAGGGAGTGCTGAGAGGAAGTCTTTCCAAAAGAGAATATGAAAGAGTCGAGAATTGCTGGGTCAGTGATGCACATTGACTGTTGGTATCAACTCTTAGCAACTCTTTTTTGGGGGTCTGAGTCGACTCACAGCAGGAGGACGGCATTCGTGTCGTGTCGTGTCGTGTGAAGTCGACCGAAGCTTGTACCAGCTAGACCTTCAGACTCCTGGCGCGACCGAAGAAACGAGGCGGTTCGCTGCGCTTCGCTTCTTCGTTTCTTCGGTTCGGACCGGGATCGAACGAGGCGAAGGGAAGGAAGGAACGGGAGAGGGCCCCTCGAGGACACCGGTGGATCGTGGAAGGATGGATTCGATTCGAATCCATCCTTCCAGGTTCGGGGCCGAAGCTGAACTGTTCCCTCTTGGAAGATGGAGAACAAAAAGAAGCGCTGGCGTTTTCCACTTGGCGTCCGCCTTTTAAGAGATGTGCTTCAGGTTTTGGTGCATGTTCAACTTTAATTTGGGATGATTGAACTCACTAACTCATATGGATATGGTCAAAACCAGGGGAACCCTGGTTTTCTCCCACCGAACAGAAGAGACTTCGGAAGACATGGTCAGGCTGGCGGGGGTCAACCAGGCTCTTGGATGATTAAACCCACTATATACATCTACCTAGAACCTGAGTGACCTCTATGAAATGGACCACCAACCACCCGAAATATGTTGGTTTTCTATGTTTTTCCTATCAAAACAGAGGTCATGTTTGGGTTCCAGGTATATATACTGCATATAGATTTGTGACTTAAAACCACCGGCGGCTTTGGTCTTTTGGACCGGGCGTCTTCCCCCTGAGTTCAGCTGAGGGTGGAGAGAGGTCAATTTCACCCAAGAGAATCAAGGACCCTTGAAAGATGCAGGGTGTGAAGGTCCAAACCCCTGGGTTTGATAGGAGGGTTCAACCCCTTGATAGGAGGGTCCAAACATGGTTAGGGCATATGAATAGAATCGAGAAACCAAGGCAACTGGCAGGATGTTGAGGTTCCAAAGACGGGTTCCACGACCAGTTCCGATCCCGGCACCAGTTCAGAAATATCATAGACCTACCTTGGGGCGTGGTTGTTGAAACTCAGGGGTCCATGTAGGTAAATAGTCCAGTCCCATTCCAGTCCCATGGCATCTTTGGGGTATAGGATATCACTCGTGCGAGCCATGTCTCCACTGAATGCCCCCCCCCTCACCGCTCCGCTCCAGTCCATCGGCTCCCTAGGAGGAACGGCTCCAAGAGACCTTCGGCATGGCCCACGCCTTGAGGACGACACGACCAACGACACGTCCTTCGAAGACCACGACTTCCGTCGCGGCCGTCCGCCGCTTTCTTCGGGGTTCGCGTTTGCGGACGGTCCTTCCTCCCAAGCTCATGGTGGTGGAAGTGGATGGCATGGACGCCCTCCCTACAGATAGATAGACCAGGTTCTGAAGACGAAACAGGGTGGTGCCATGTGCCGATGTCGCCATCTTTGTCGCAGGGAGTGTCCTTGTCTCGCTAAGTGAATGAGCCGTGCAACGGGTCACTAAGCATGATGCTTGTTTTGACCTTGTCGGTCAAGCAATGTCAACAAACTGAGCTCAGGACAAGTAGTGCTGAATGCAACGAGTAGTTGGTTAGTTCATACATGTTCATACACTTAACCCTGTGGCCGGGTGTTGTCCTCCTGTTGTCCTCCTAGCTGTCCTCTGGCCGCACTGGCGAATCCTGTGTGTCCTCCTTTGGTCCTTTCGGTGTCCTTCTGCTGTCCTCTGGCCGCGCTCTGTCCTCCATGTGCTCCCCAAACAATTTAGTGGTCTTGTTTGGGTCTGGTTGCCCGGGCCTTGTTTGGATCTGGCTGTCCGGCTTGGCCCCGCCGTTGGAGATCATCCGAAGGTCTTCTGGTGACAGATCCCTTCGTGGTTACACATGTCACGTCGGGAAGCAAGAGCTATTATAGAACTAGTGTGTTCGATTATTTCTATGCTTACATGCCATTCCCAAGTAAGACAGACGTGGACACACCAACATTGGAATCCAAGCAGATGACCCCCAAAACATGTACTGCTGAGACTGTTTGGGGTCTATGCTTACATAATGTTTCTATGTGTTTTCTCGGTTCCTCAAGCAAATCCAAGAATAGCTCCAAACATGTGGCTTTTCATTCAGTCAGCCGTGCCAGGAGCTCCGCCCCACTGCTGGAGACTATGGAAGCTGTAGCGATGGGAGTTGAAGCTTTGCCGTCGCCCCAGTGCGGGCGGGGAGGAATGGCAGGGACTTTCTAAGAGCGATGGCCTCCAACCTAGAAACGATGGCCTCCACCGAATTAAGTGTACTCTCAGGTCCAACATGCCCGACATAGAGCTCTGCAAAAAACATCAAACAACTACGTTGCTGAACTACTCACGCCATGTGCAGAACCCTGGTGTGCAGAACCAAGGCGACAGGTGGCGGACACCGTGTGGTCTAAAAGCCGCACAACAGAACTCATGGTAATGACTGATAGATACTGAGTATCGCTCAAGGTTTCCTGCAAAGGTTTAAGCAAAGCACGAAACGAAACCAAATCTGGGCAAAAAACAATTCAATTTTGTGGTGCTTCAGCAAGAGATGCGCAAGGTGCACCTGAGGCAGGCACAAGAGAGGTTGTTGAAGAAGGATTTTCGCGTTCTTGCTTCAATTCCTTTTTTTCAATCACACACTCCGACTCAAAAGCATTTCATGTGGAAACTGCCTGTTTGGCTGAGTGACTCGGACTGTCATGTCTTTCAAGCACACCAAGAATGTCCAGCAGTCACCACCAACTTATCAGCTTCTCAGCTTCTCAGCTCATCCAGCCTCACTCAGACACTCCTTCTCCGCACCGCTGGAGCCGCACCTCAAGAGTTTGGAGCAGGTCGCTCGGGAGCCGCGGCGACCGTCGGTCCGCGGCGCCTTCGCCCCCGCGCGTCCGTTCGTTCGGGGCCGTCGGGTCCGCGGGCGGTATGGGATCGCAGGATGGTCTCGGACCGTGGTGGTTTGGGTGGATCGAAGCCGATTCCGAAGAGTCTGTCCGTGGTGGTTTTGGCGGTCCGGTGCCGAAAGAAGGAGTTGAATGTCTTGGATGTCTTGGAGTAGTTTGGTTGGCACAAGCACTATTTGCATGTATTTATCTCTACTTGAGGTGTCATTGAGTATTTCACCTCACATAGTTGAATTGAATATTTGAAAATACTGTGAATGTTTCTCACCTGAAAAAAAAAGAAAACACTGCGGCAAGACCTCACCAGGCTGACTTTTGCAGCCCCTTGCGTGCGGCGCTGCTGGCGCGCCGTGCCCAGTTGGGGCGAGGAGCGGAGGCCGAGGTAGGCCTGGAAGTGGGTGGAGTGAACTGGGTGAATCCAGTTTCAGGAAATATTCTTTGGGGAGGGGTTGCTTGGGAAGTTACGCGAGTCCCTAAAACAACAGCTAAATCAGCAACTTCCAAGTTGCTAGGACGTCCACAGGCCTTCCTTCTTCTGCGTTTGCGCAAGCGTTGATGTCTTCCCAGCTCCGCCCCACTCGGCCATGGTGAGCAAGGAATCGACCGAACCCGCGCCCCGCGCACGGACAGCGCCATGGCATCCGGCCGTGGATGTCGCCAAGCCACATCCGCCAGGCGGATGCACGCCGTGCGCTGATGTTGGATGCCAACTGCCGAGACGCACAGGCGAGGGTTGGACTGATTGCCTGGATTGGAATGGATGGGATGAATTATACAAAAATATAGGAACCTGTTCAAAGAATGTTTGACATGTCCCTGAAACATCCCGAAATTCTATTTATAGCATGTTGGTAGATATTGTTCAATTTATATAATTGACAATCATTTGTAGCCTTTTTTCATAAAGAGTTTCAAGATTGAAAATGATCAATATCCAGATAGATGTATGGATGGATCCATTCTTCCCAGACCTGTTGATATTATATTTCTTATTTCCATCAAAGATTGAGAATTGTGTTAATACAAACCCTCCAAAAGATTTCTATATTCCACCTAAGAATCTCATCCTCTTTCGGAGGAAATACTTCGAAGACATAAACAAGGATACAATAATGAATAACGACAATGAAAAATACATTCAAAATAAACATTATGATATTGTATGTTCATTAAATTGAAAAAAAAATATAAATAATATATTAATAAATATATAATGATTTACATGTAAAATATAGTTATTCTATTGTTGATTATATTTAAATTACAATATATTTAATGGTAAATAATAATATAATATATATTATTATAATTGATTTGTATTTTAATGATAATTGATCTGTTTAAAATATAGAATTAATTGGTGATTTGGAAATATTTGAATTGAATAATTTGATGATGAAATTAATTCGGATTGATATTCTATATTTATTATTATATATAAATTATAATTTGAATTATTTTTTGGAATTAAAAAAAATCGATAAATATATTTTATTAGTATAAATGTATTTAATATTTAGATATATTGAATATAATATGTAAGGAATTGAATTTAAAATAGAATATAATTGTATTTGTTTGGAATTATTTAAATGAATTAAAGATTTATATAAAATGGTGTTTTTTTTTGTGGTCGTAGAGGGGCGACGTTAAATTTCCGGATTTAATTGAAATTAATTG